GAGGGGTAGATGGGCGGGATAGTGAGTAGAGGGGGTAGATGAGCGGGATAGCGAGTAGAGGGGTAGATGGGCGGGATAGTGAGTAGAGGGGGTAGATGAGCGGGATAGCGAGTAGAGGGGGTAGATGGGCGGGATAGTGAGTAGAGGGGGTAGATGGGCGGGATAGTGAGTAGAGGGGGTAGATGGGCTGGATAGTGAGTAGAGGGGGTAGATGGGCGGGATAGTGAGTAGAGGGGGTGGATGGGCGGGATAGTGAGTAGAGGGGATAGATGAGCGGGATAGTGAGTAGAGGGGGTAGATGGGCGGTATAGTGAATAGAGGGGGTGGATGGGCGGGATAGTGAATAGAGGGGGTGGATGGGCGGGATAGTGAGTAGAGGGGATAGATGAGCGGGATAGTAAGTAGATGTGATTTTGACCGAGTAATGCGTAGATATTTGCATTTGTCAGGATTGAAGGTCATGCGCGCCCCAGGCTAGTGCCCATCGTTCCAGACAAGTAAGGATACTCTGCCTGGCAACCTGGTCATCCTTATTGTAAATCGTTCGGTAAATAACGGCATCATCAGCGAACTGTATATATATATATAGCGAATCACAGATGCTGCAGCTTATTCTATGCCATAAATAGTCATTGTAATCGCTTTAAAAGCAGAGCTCTATAGACTTTTAGCTGCATTATTAACTCACGTTAGTTCGTAAAACTCCCTCGTTGTCACGGAAACTGCGACGATAAACACAATCGAAACAAAATAATGAGAGAAAGCTACGACCCACGTGTCCATTGAACACGAGAGATGTGACGAGAGAGAAACATGTCACGGTCATAAGCACTTGGATAGTTTTAATATTGCAATAACCAAATAATGGTAATTAAACAATCATTAATTAATTACTAGAAAAACCTTATTTTTATTTTACTCTCTATCGCCTACTAATTCCAGGTAAATGGCGGTCTACTCATACATTACTACAGATGCGGTTACGCAAGGGCAACGTCCACGCACGCACGCACGCACGCACGCACGCACGCACGCACGCACGCACGCACACACCTACACACATAAAAACTCACATACACACACCACTCCTCTATCCAATCCATCTTTCTCCACCTCTTCCGCCTCTACCACCCTATCTCCTCCTCCTCCTCTACCACCAGAACCAGCAGCACCACCATAACCTTCCACCAACCCTTATTTAAATTTTCATTCTCGGCTTACCTATACTTATCGTATAATTTAAACAAACTCTGCCATTTTGTCACTCAACCCCTATGGAAAAACAGTCTAGCCTGTGAGCAGATAATAGAATGGTGTTACAATACTCGTCTCAAACGCTTGGCTTCATTATATGGCGGCACGGCTATACATAGCATGCAATCTAGCCCGTGACGTATAGCACTAGGTTACTGTTACATCCTTTGCCTAAACGTCACTTTTCCCGTGCGTAATCATATATGTATTTTCGTTTGTAATATAAGAATTACGCTCAAAACGCGCGAGCGTAATATTTAGTAAGCATTAATTAGACGCCATAATTTCTAATAAAAAACGCGTGCTGTATATTTATTGCAAGTCTGCAGAAAGCCATCTTGGTTGTAGTGTATGTGAACGTATACATATTTTGATAGAAATGTGCAAATCTATTAGAGAAATTGCGAAAATACAAAATAATTGAAGGCGTTCGCATGAGCTAAAACAATAATGTTATTAAATATGTCATAATGATAACACACAGCACAAGGGATCGTACAATTCATAAGGAAACTCACGTGAAAGCCGATATGTTGGTATTTCAAGTCGATACTTTAATAAATATGCAGTGCAATGGAACGTTGTAATTCTGTTTTATGATGCAGTGCCACCCGACTCGTATGAGATTACCAAATATAAATATATTCAATAAATATATATGAATACTGTTTATAGACTAGTAACAGTTCACATGGCTATTCTTTGGTAACACATGCACACGTTGCGAAGTGAACACAACGACTATAGTGCGAAACGGCAGCTGAGTGTCCACGGATTTCTCACTGAAGCCCTAATTGATAGCATAATCAATAAATGTGATCAGTATAAATCAGTGCGTGCATACACATCAAATAGTTAAATAGCTATGCCGTTAAACATCAACACTTCCGGTGTAGCCATTCGTCCCAGAATTAGGGCTGCGGTGCAAAGTGTAACGCGGGTGGAGCGAGCTAAACACACGGGCGTGAACAGAAGGGAAAGAGCTGTTTTAGTGACGCGGTTCAATTTCGCCATAGTAACTGTGGAAATTTAAACTAAAGCGTAGACAGAGATTCCCAAAAATACGAGCAGAGGACAAACTAGAGATATCGTCGGATCATTTCAATGGTTGAACTGAATTTCATAGCTGCGCAGCTTCATAACATGCTAGCTATTCATCCACTCATCGGACTCTATACGATGCTAACCAAACATGTGTACACTGAGTTGCAAGGCAGCTTTTACTTAAGTACAGTCCATAAACACACGCGCGCACCAACGCGCGCACGCACGCACACACAATCAGATACGCACACACACATACACCCACACCCCACACACACACACACAC